AAAAATTACAAATAGATACAATTGAAACAATAGAAGTTTAAAAAGATTTAAGTGACATGAAAATTCATCTCTAAGAAATCACAGAGGTATTTTATCACACACAAAAAAAAAAATAAATCAAAATATAATTAGATATTTATTTAATTTTTCCCCAACCTTACAAAATTAGGTTTTAATTCCTGGGCCCCACTTTTGAATATGTATTTTAGCAAAGGAAAGGTAATTTTTCATTATTATTAGAAAAATGCTTGGGAGCACTAATTAGTGCTCCCACTAATTAGGTGGCAGTGGGTCCCGCCATTAATGATGTGATGTTTTGGTTTGGAGTTGTATTTTTCTTTTTTTTTTTTTAATGCATTAGTGCTATTAGTGGTGATATTTTTAATAGAATGAATCATTGTTGTTATTATTAGATAGGTCCACGTCATCATACCACTCAAAACTTGTCAATTAGTCTAAAGTATTGTTTTTTTTTAAAGCCATAATGGCCTACACATCATATCAAGTAGTAACACGTTATATCATTTTGTTCTGTGTTTGGTGAAGTCTTCCTCAGCTCATTTTTTCTCTTTATTTTTTTTAATAATAAAATGTTAATAATAACTAAAAAAAGGTTTATTAGCTTCAAATATTTTTGAAACGTGTTAAATGGATTAATGACCCTTTTTTAAAACAATGTTTTATAAACCCAATTTGATTTGCAATGGACTGTTAACTTTGGCAGGGTAGTTCAAGAGTTTGACTTCTCACCTGCTACTAGCTAACTAGATTGAGCCAAGATTCTCTCCTTGCAGCTTCGTACTTGCGTTCGTCCTTGCAGGTCTTCGAGTCTACTTTTAGGCCCAATTTTAATAATCCGAACCGTTCATATTTTATGATTTATTCAGTATATCATAGCTGTAAAAAATCAAGTTAATCGGATATCAAAAAACATATGTTCGAAAAACTGTTTATTTAATTCTTTAAAAAATAGTTTTTAGTTCAATTTTTCGAACATATACTTTCTGATATCCGATCAACTTGATTTTTTACAGGTATGATATACTGAATAAATTATAAAATATGAACGGTTCGGATTATCAAAATTGGGCCTAAAAGTATACCCGAAGGCCTGTAAGGACGAGCGCAAGTACAAGGAGAGGATCCTCATTCAACTACCAAGGCAAACTTTTTTGCAAGTTGGTCACATGATTCAATAGGTCTTTCTTTATAACAATGATTTATGCCTAGTTTGGGAAGATTAAAAAAAAATAAAAAGTCAAAAAGTTACTATCCTATTTAAGTCACATCATCTTATTTAAGTCACATCACCTCTCTAACACATCACTTCAAACCCAACCCAAACCTAACCCATATTTCATAAAAAAGTCAAAAAATACACTTATTTCCCAAACTAGGCCTTATTATGTTTGAAGCAATTTAGCAAGTGTTTCTTAAATCAGAAATACAAAATGAAAATAAAAAGTAAACAGTTGTCTATACTAAAATTCATAGAAGCAAAATAAAGTAGAAATTTTCCAACAACAAATAAATAATGATAATAATAAAATAAAGAAGAATATATCATTCACTTTATATAGGTGAAATAACTCATTTTTTCTTTTTTCTCCCGATGCGGGATTATAAAATAAATCATAGACTAATTATAATTTTGTTTTTATGTGGTTAAATGAAAATTAACTAATAGAGATTTTTTTAATTGTTTAAAATTAAGAAAATTAGTAATAAATGTTGAAATTCTCACAAAGTTTCTCACTAAAACTCTCTTTTATTTTGAAAAGATGATTAAAAGTTGGTTTTTGACCTATTTTGAGTCACATTATCTCTTTTATTTTTTTATACGTATATTCAAAAAAAATTAAAAAATAAATTTTAACTATTTTTCTAAAACAACTCACAATATATAGATAAATAGATAGATAGATACCCCTTTAAAAGTTGTGTACATTAGAATTTCTCTAATAATTAAAATTGTTTTGTTGACATATTTTATTTAATTTTATGTTTTTTGGACATTGAAGAACCTAAGCTCCGTTTGGGAAGATAGTTTTGAGACTTTTTTTTGGCTAAAATAGTCACAAAAAACAAAATAAGTGTTTTAGCTTAATAAGACAAAATATCATATCCAACCCATAATCATTATATTTTTTCGCTTACAAAAAAGTCAAAAAAACCTAAAATCTTTTCTAAGGCCAAGTTTGGTATCCTCAAAAAAATTTAAAAAGTTAAAAAGTCACTATCCTATTTAAGTCACATCATCTTATTTAAGTCACATCACCTCTCTATCACATCATTTCAAACCCAACCCATACCCAACTCATATTTCATAAAAAGTCAAAAAGTACACTTATTTAGGACACCCAAACAACCCCTAAATCAAACTTTTTAACCTCAGACTAAAATAATCAAATAAATTAAAAAGCCAACTCACCCCCTAAACCACACCCTAATAATATCGTTAATTTTTTTGGGTCAAAATTTTACATTAAGACCTCGTTTGGGAACATGCTAATTTAGTAATTTTTTGGCTATTTGGTTAAAATATAAGCTAAAAAAAACTAGTATGTTTGGGATAACTTTTTGGCTTTTTACGAAAAGATGTGTAAAAAGTAGAGAGAAAAGAGAATCTTTGACTTTTTTGTATGAGTTATTAATTTTTTGACTAATTTAATAATTTTTTGACTTTTTGACTAAAATAGAGAGTTCCCTAACGAGACTAAGGAGTATTTTGGATTGCTACAACTGGCATGGCCGTTAGCCGGTTCAGGATTATCGAAATCCAGATGAAGATTCTCTCAACAACCCCAACTGTGAAACAACCACCTACCTTCCCTAATTTTCTGGTTTCACTTGTTTTTAGGTATTTTGTCCTTTACTTTATTAAAAAATAATAAAAATATAAAATACATAATTAAATTAAGAAATGTTATGCAATACACACGGTATAAAATTTTATATAAAATTACGTTAATTTTCACAAAATAATTATACAAAAATATGTAAGTTGAACATAAATTTATGTAAATTAATGAAAACTTATGGGGTGTTTTGAAAAGTTAGTAAAAAGTTGATTTTTGACTTTTTACCAAGTTTTTTGGCTTTTTTAAAAGTAATTTGGGAAGTTGGTAAAAAGATGACTTTTTTACTTTTTAGTTTAATATTTTTTAAAAATGTCACATCACTCTAAAATGATCAAAATATCCTTACTTTTTGCATCTCAACAATTTTTTGAATTAATTAATTATAATATTTCAGAGGGTAGTTTGGTAAATTTGTAAGTGGCTTTTTTAGGTCTTCCCCAAATGGGATCAGTGGCGTTTTTGCAAGGGTTGACGTTTTCGGAAAGTTGCTCAAAACGTAGCTTTTTGCTGTGTTGCCAAAACGGCACTATGTGATTATGCGAATTTGTGTTGAATTTACACATTTTTATAAAATCAATTATGTAAATTCATAAAAATTTATATAAATTCTTAAATTCATATATGGTGTGCAATGCACACTAAAATTTTTTCCAATTAAATTTATTAGAAAATATTTAGAGTGTACATAATAATATAATTGGACATACTTTTAGTGAAAATAATGAAAATAACCCATAAAAACATCTTTATTGAGTTCATGGGGTATGTTTGGTTCAATTTCTTGTAAATTAAAAATTAATAATAAAAAGTAAAAATTAAAAGCATCACTCTCTTAATTTTTAAATAATTATTATTTTTTCAGTTTATTAAAATTATTTATACTAGATAAGCTATATACATAAGTTACACTATTTTGATGTGGAACTATCATTTCGAGGAAACACACATTTTACACTTTAATTGTTCATTCCATGAACCTCAAAACGACGTCAACTTCCCATTCACTCATAAATGGTTTTGACGAACCGTCTTCACCGTGTGACTTGCCATGAGGGAAGGAACACTTCACCTTGGACTCATCCCAAAATACGCGTGGGATCCACTCAAATTTGGGCTCAACGTTGGCCCAAAAAAGCTTATAGAAGCCGTAAATTCCAACAGATCGGGAATCCTTGCTTGGCGACTCTACTATTGATCTTGGTGGAGTTTCGGCATCCTTGACGGCCGCTTGGAGGTATTAGTTAACATCCTTCTACATAGTGATGTAAGAAAAATTGAAAAAACTAATCAAACCGATTGAACCAAACTGAACGAACTATATTTGGGTTGGTTTTTAACAAAAATCAGTATGTGCAAATTTTAAATTTGATTTTTTTCGATTTTCAGTTCGGTATCAGTTCAACCACCTTGTGCACTAAACTAAACCAAAATCGACCGCTTCAATATATATTGTATTTATAATATAATCTAATGATATAATGATATTAGTAAGTATAATAATTTATTAACCTTACTTAATTAATCTTATCATCTTTATAACCTAAGTTTGCAAACTCTTATTATATATAATCTTAGAGAAAAGTTAGGGATCATGAATTTTTTTTTTATAAAAATGACCATGAAAGAGTTATGATTCTTGGATTACCTTGATTAGTGTGTGGTGCTTTATTCTAAGTGTAATCCAAATGTCACAAAGCTTTTATGATTATTTCCATGAAAGGTTTTTCATGATATCTAGCATTGTTGATAATCTTAACTCTAACTCATTATTCTTGAAACCTTAGTATTTTTAAACTTTTTTTTTTGTTTTTATTTTTGTTAATTTAGGAATTAAAAAGTATGTATTAAATGGATGAATTAGATATGTTTGAAATGGTAAACAAATAATCAATTTAATATTTTTATATAGATTAATTATTATATTTAAAAATGACTCAAGTTTAAAAATTTTTAAACAGATTAAACTGCACCAAACAGAACTGTTTCAATTGATTTGATTCGGTGCGATTTAAACGGTCTATATCGATATACAAAATAATAAAACTCACATTAATAATGTAATATAAATTTTTATCTAAATACCGACGGTACGGAGCCGATTACGTCCTGCTACACAGACTCATAAAAAACGAAGTCATTAATTCGAGGGGCCTGCTCTGCTCTGGACTCTATAAAATCCACTCATGTCCTCTGTTAACGGCTCTGCATTAAAAACACAGAGAGAGAGAGAGAGAGAGAAGCAGAGCGAGAGAGACAGAGAGAGCCATGTCTTTGCTATCAGATCTCATCAACCTCAACCTTTCGGACACTACGGAGAAGGTGATTGCTGAGTACATATGGTGAGTAGTTTTCATGTGATCTTTCGTTGCTCTTTGTTTTTGTCGGTTGTTGGGTTGCTCTGTTTCGACTCATGCTCTGTTTCTTCAGTATTCTGGGATCTTCTTTGTCTTCCCATGTTCTTGGTTCTGCTACTATGTTTTCTCTTCATGGAGATCAACCTATCGTTTCTGTTTATAGTACTTACCCTTTTCAGAATTTCTTGCAATTGTGTGTTTTTCACTATTATATCATCGCTCGTTCACTATCAATGTTTTAGATGTATGTATATATTTATTTTGTGTGTGTGAATCTGTTGCTTTGTTTTCGATCTATTTCTTATGAAAAACCCTTTTTTTACAAGATCTAAACTTTACGTTATTTATTTATTTTAATTGTGAATGGAGTTTCATTAGCAATTCTCTGTTCTGATGAGAATCATGCCTTTTTTCTTTGTTTGTAGGTGGAAATTTGATGCTTTGTTTAAGGTTTTTTATTTATTTTTTATTTTTAGAATCAATATATTTTCTAAGATTTCATACATTTGTTATCACTTGGCTTTAATCTTCAGTTTAGTTTTGTAACCACTCTTGTTTCTATGGAGATCTGGTATACTATGTTGTTGTGATTGATATGGGCTAATCTTTCCATGGTTTTTAAAACTAGGCTGTGTGTTTGGTTCATGAATTTGGTGAGAGATTTGGAAATGAAAAAAAGAAAAGGTGTATAAAATTAAATGAAATAACATTTTACCTACCTTTTCTATTTTCACTTTCCTAACACAGCTTATGTTGTAGTTTTATTGTTGATGAGTATGTTCTGTGACTTTTTTTCAGTGCTATTAATTATTTCCCTTGTTTATCTAGAATTTTTCAACTTTGATATTTAATTTTGAATCTGTGAATAGGATTGGTGGTTCTGGCATGGACCTCAGAAGCAAAGCAAGGGTAATAGCTTTTCTCCCTAATAAAAAATTGTTTCTGGTTATTGTGTATGGTATCTAATGTAATCGATTGTGCTATATAGACTCTTTCTGGACCTGTGAGTGACCCCAAAAAGCTTCCAAAGTGGAATTATGACGGATCTAGCACAGGACAAGCTCCTGGTGAAGATAGTGAAGTCATTATCTAGTATGTGATCTTGCTTTTCAATTTCTTTTACCATTTTTTACACAATTTTCCCTTACATAGTGTTGTTTGTATATTTGGGTTCACTTAACAATAACTGAAATTAACTTTTGTAAATTGGTGATGTAACAAACACAACAGCCCTCAAGCAATTTTTAAGGACCCATTCAGGAGGGGAAACAATATATTGGTGAGTTAAACTTGTATTTTTGCATTCAGTTCTTTTGGGTTTGGGGGGCACTTCATTGCGATGTCTTTAACAAAATACTAAACAAGTTCGTTCATCTCTCTTTGTTGTTATCTTAGGTCATGTGTGATACTTACACACCTGGTGGTGAGCCAATTCCAACAAACAAGAGGTTCAACGCTGCAAAGATTTTCAGCCACCCTGATGTTGTAGCTGAAGAACCTTGGTAACTATTATTTTATACCTCTCATAGTGTTGTCAAATTTTATTCTCATTGTTGTATTTTACGTGCATCTTTATCCCCCAATATTTTTGGGATGTGGTAATTTACTGGTAATTCATGTTGTAAAATAGGTATGGTATTGAGCAAGAGTACACCTTGCTCCAAAAACAAGTTAAGTGGCCGCTTGGCTGGCCGCTTGGAGGTTTTCCAGGACCTCAGGTAAATGAAACCGATCCTCTTCTAAATACCAACAATTTGCAATTTTCTATCTTGTCTTAATTGCAGTATTTTTTTTCTTGTTTGATGTACTGATTATTGTAATTTACTTTTGGTTGTAAATTGTTTGTTGTTTGATGTATTTTTAGATTATGATTTCTAGTTATTAACTTTTGGTTTGCAAAAGACTACACTGCACCAAACAAGGAAATTTGATCTGATTTTTGTCGTGTATAATTCAATAGCGTTCAATGCCAACTTGTCTGGTAATTTAAGCAACTGCAAAAAGGGATTATGCTTTTTAATGCCTACATTAAATGCTTCTCCCAATTTAAATAGATCCCGAGTTTAGCAGCTGATAATTCTTGTGAGCAACAATGTTTCTATCTTTTGTGATATGTTATGGTGAATCCTTTTTGCCTGAAACAACTGTAATTGAACCTCTTGTTGTTGCAACATAGGGACCATACTATTGTGGTATTGGTGTTGACAAAGCTTATGGACGCGATATTGTGGATTCGCATTACAAGGCTTGCCTCTATGCTGGTGTAAACATAAGTGGAATAAATGGTGAAGTGATGCCTGGCCAGGTAAAAGGAGTTACTTTTGAGTTATTTCTTTCATTTTTCTCCTCCAAATCTGAATCACTGTTGTTCTATTCAGTTGAAACTCAAATATTTCGTTGTTTTATAATACAGTGGGAGTTTCAAGTTGGACCTTCTGTTGGTATCTCAGCCGGAGATGAATTGTGGGTGGCTCGTTACATCCTTGAGGTAAAGTTCCTAGTTGAAACTACTTACTACTATGCTAACTATTAATTTTATTTAATTTTATTATGTAGGATTTAATGATACAAAGTTTGTTCTAAACTGCTTTTTATTTTCCTTTATTGACAGAGGATCACGGAGATTGCTGGGGTCGTGGTTTCCTTTGATCCCAAACCTATCGAGGTTAGATTTTTCATAATTTACTTTGTTCTTCCTTCATTATCCCCCGAGGATCTTGATTTTCTTTCAACACTTGGTTATATACAATAGTTTTGCATTTACTTCAATATCGCTATTATATTCGTTCTAACTCTCACTGCGGGCTTCTTGTATATCAGGGTGATTGGAATGGCGCTGGAGCTCATACCAATTACAGGTAATAGATCAAACTTAAAATAGGGACTGACGGCATAACATGAAATTTGTTCTGCTTTGTGCTAATGATTGAATGTTAATCCAAATTTCAGCACCAAGTCTACGAGGAGTGATGGGGGTTTTGAGGTCATCAAAAAGGCCATTGAGAAGCTTGGCCTAAGGCACAAAGAACATATTGCTGCTTATGGTGAAGGCAACGAGCGTCGTCTCACTGGACGACATGAGACCGCCGACATCAACACCTTCTTATGGGTAAATAATTTGTTTTACAATTTTTTTGATGGTTGAAATCTTGCACTGAGAGATCACCAAAAAATATTTTCTCTATATATGAGTGCTTGTGGATATTATTTCATTCGTTCTTGCATTTAGTGCCCAAAAAAAAACAAAAAGTCTGAATTGGGAAATTTTTATTTTCTATGAAAATAGAAGAAATCCATTTTACTTAATTTATATCCAATTTTTATAACAGCTAGTGCATGGACCTAGCTCATGTTCATAATACAATGCCATCCTCATGGTAATTTTTTGTTTTTCTTCCAACAGGGAGTTGCAAACCGTGGTGCATCGATCAGGGTCGGGAGGGACACAGAGAAAGCCGGAAAAGGGTATTTTGAGGACAGGAGGCCTGCTTCGAATATGGATCCATATGTGGTTACTTCCATGATTGCAGAGACCACTCTGCTGTGGAAGCCATGAGTACGAGCGTTGTTCACTTATGCTATGTTTGGATGGGGATTTAAGGATGGATTTGGAAAAGAAAATAGGAAAGGTATGTGAAATGTGAAAAAAATATATTTATATTTCACGTAGTTTCACACATTTTTTTCCTTTCCTTTTCCAAATCTCTTTCAAAATCTCCCAACCAAATACAGCGTTAGCGACGGCTACATTTGAATTTAATATTGTGCTCTGCTCTGTCTGTTTCATTGTTTAGTGATTTCAAAGAGGAAAAGAAATTGTATTTCATAATCCCAACCCAACCTTTGTGTCTATTTTTCCAAATTGAAGTAAGTGGAGAGTATGTCTTGTTATTTTCTTGGTACTAGGCTCTGTTTGTGTCTCGAGTAGCAAACATGATTTCCAGTCTCTGTCTTTGAATAAAAACAGTAACATTTTACATTAATAACAATATGAAGGAGGGGTTGAATTTATTGTGGCGTTGGGTGCGATATATATATATATATCATCTTCAGCAGTTGTATTATCTCGAGTAGTGTTGCTTTTCCAATTCTAAAAAACAAAGTTGTTTTTGGAGTTTCGAAAACTGTTTCCCACTACAATGAATACTTGACTGCTTTTTTGGACATTTCATTATTTTTTTGGAAGACCCGAAGATGAAAATGAAAATGAAAAAGAACAAAACCAAAACAAGACAAGGTCTAGTCGTTTATGTATTTAAATGTTTCATATACTACTCAATTATGAAGGTTGGGTATGTGGAGTAAACAAATTGCCGTATCATTTGTAAAAAAGTGTTGTTAGGATAATACCAAGCCTGTTACCAGTAGTCAAAGTAGCCTCAAATTAAACAGACTTAAACAGAAATAGAACTTAATCCAAGCATGAGCACTTGACTCATTATGTTCAAATGAAAATAGTCACTTTGGTAATAATGTGGTTGGTTCATTCAATTGTGATATCCTTGACCTCATGACGCCTTGTCAAGCATGTTTTTTTTGTTGAAGCATGCTTAGCCATGTCTTTGTGAAATTTAGAATTGATTGGCCTTTTCAGGTGCTAAATTTGGCCTTTCAAATTGCACTGGATAGAATGTCATATAAAAGGACAGTTCAGTGCATGATGTTTCATCCATTACTATGCAATCTGAAGAAGGTCAAATATATACAATCTTACCTAGTTAGAATTCTAATATATATTGTTCATAAATCAAAGTTGTTCTACTGGATGAAGATCAGTGTGATGAAATTGCTTGCAAGTAAAGAGGTTTTTATCATTTCAAAATTATGAACATATGCTTTTTTATATTTCTTGTGTGAAAAGAACTTGTACATTTGGACACACAGACTAAAGTAGAATTGAAGACCAAACTGTATGAAATGTCAAGTGTACGAAAATCTTTAAAAAAAATTTGGGAGAGCCAAATTAAGTTGGTAATGTGACTTCCCAATGTCTGGGTCTTGTAGCCAAAGACTAGATTATCTGAAAATTAGCCAGTTTTTTCAGAGTAAATTGAGGGTGTGAACCTCAATGATGCTGAAAATTCAATTGATCTTTTGTTGGATTCCTTTAAAATTTTACCACTCCAAAAGGAAAGCATAGAAACTGATGTGGTGGCTTACTCTGTAGCAGCAGGTCAAGGTCCAAAACTATTTGCTTTTGGAAGGATATTGACAACTGAAGATTGTGTTTGGATCAATAATTTAATGAAAAATTTGTTTTATAAATTTTGTCTTATTTTATTTTTTATTTTTACAAATCCTCTCAAATCATTGATTTTAACACAATGTTAGAGCATGCACATCAGAAATTGGACTTCTTGCTTGGGGTATGCCCCCTTGTACCTTGTATTTCTTGTGGATCTTTATATATCCTCACTTGCTTACAAAAAAATAAAAATGAAAATAAAAATAAAATAATATTGTTCTTATTAAGAATAAGCAGCCCTTCCAGATGCAAATTGGCACATCATTGTGTACAGCTTCGCAGTGTTTGTTGAGATCAACTAGACCATTAGAATTTTCAGAAGAGGTTCAACTATTAGGCAATCATCTAAGGCTCATATTTGAGAATGTGGCCAAAATTTTAAAGCCCATAATAATATATATTTTCCATTTTGACAAATTTTAGAGCCCAAAATTAGCAAACTTCAAAAAGTGCATTATTTTGGGTTAAAAAATAAAATCAGGCCTCACATAATAAAAAATTCAAGCTACTTCTCTTAAATTCTTTAACTTATATTGGCTAAAAAAAAAAAAAGTCTATATACTATAATCTTCAAAATAAAAATTGCCTTTTTGTTCTTTAACTTTTGAATGTAGAAGTGTCTTATGCTCCATTTGTTTGGACAAAAAATATTTTCTAAAATATATATATATACATATATATTTTGGTACTTTATACAATGGAAAATAGAAGACAACAAAAAACATTTTTTGTGATAAATAAAAAATATGCTTATATGGGCATAAAATATTTTAAATAAATTACACTTTTTCCCCTCTATATTTGGCCACTTTCCCACATTAGCCCTTCATGTTTTAAGTTTTTTTTTCACTTTACTTCAAAAACTAACTTGTGTTCAAAATTATAAAGAAAATGCCACAATAACTGTTTATATAACATAAAAATATATTATTATATTAGAGTCTACGTTTATGTTAGAGGTGCGAATATTATATAATAAAATATTTTTATGCCACGTAACTGACAATGTGTCATCTTTTATCTTATTACTTTACGAGTAAAGTGGAAAAATTTTGAAACACGAAGGGCCAAAGTAGGGAAAAACAAACTTGAAGGGCCAAAGTGAAAAAGTGGCTCAACATAAAAAGTGCAAAGTGTAATTTACCTATATATTTTTCACTTTTACAAGGTGAAAAATATTTTTCGTATTAAAGTTTTACCAATATCACCACACTACCACCACCACTCTCACCTACACCACCACACCACCATTACTGCAGCCATAGCCACGATCACCGTTGCTATCACCGCCACTACCACCCCACCACCGCCACCTCCATCTTCATTTCACTACCACCACTAAACATAAAAAAATGTTTTCTCTAGAAAAAATTTTCTAGAAAAAATTTTCTATAGAAAATATTTTCAATTTGAAAATGTTTTTTGCTTTAATGAACACTACAAGAATTTGCACATTTGACGACCACTTTTGACAACTAAAAAAAATTTAGTCACCAAAAATGTCACTTTGGGCGACTAAAATATGTATTAGTCAGCGTTGGTATAGGATGTAGCTATTAAACATTTTGTGGGGAAATATTATTTATTGGTGACTAAATTGTTTTTTTGTCGGCAAAAATATCACTTTTAATGATTGAATTTTAGGCTTCTAATTTTTTTTTGGTCGTCTTATATTATTTTTTGCCTACAAAACAAATGTTAGTAGCCAAAAACCAGGTATATTTTTATGGTTACTCTTTAGCGACTAAAAAATTTAGTGGGCAAATATTATTTTTTCCCGACCAAGGCTCATATTTGAGAATGTGGCCAAAATTTTAAAGCCCATAATAATATATATTTTCCATTTTGACAAATTTTAGAGCCCAAAATTAGCAAACTTCAAAAAGTGCATTATTTTGGGTTAAAAAATAAAATCAGGCCTCACATAATAAAAAATTCAAGCTACTTCTCTTAAATTCTTTAACTTATATTGGCTAAAAAGAAAAAAGTCTATATACTATAATCTTCAAAATAAAAATTGCCTTTTTGTTCTTTAACTTTTGAATGTAGAAGTGTCTTATGCTCCATTTGTTTGGACAAAAAATATTTTCTAAAATATATATATATACATATATATTTTGGTACTTTATACAATGGAAAATAGAAGACAACAAAAAACATTTTTTGTGATAAATAAAAAATATGCTTATATGGGCATAAAATATTTTAAATAAATTACACTTTTCCCCCTCTATATTTGGCCACTTTCCCACATTAGCCCTTCATGTTTTAAGTTTTTTTTTCACTTTACTTCAAAAACTAACTTGTGTTCAAAATTATAAAGAAAATGCCACAATAACTGTTTATATAACATAAAAATATATTATTATATTAGAGTCTACGTTTATGTTAGAGGTGCGAATATTATATAATAAAATATTTTTATGCCACGTAACTGACAATGTGTCATCTTTTATCTTATTACTTTACGAGTAAAGTGGGAAAATTTTGAAACATGAAGGGCCAAAGTAGGGAAAAACAAACTTGAAGGGCCAAAGTGAAAAAGTTGCTCAACATAAAAAGTGCAAAGTGTAATTTACCTATATATTTTTCACTTTTACAAGGTGAAAAATATTTTTCGTATTAAAGTTTTACCAATATCACCACACTACCACCACCACTCTCACCTACACCACCACACCACCATTACTGCAGCCATAGCCACGATCACCGTTGCTATCACCGCCACTACCACCCCACCACCTCCACCTCCATCTTCATTTCACTACCACCACTAAACATAAAAAAATATTTTCTCTAGAAAAAATTTTCTAGAAAAAATTTTCTGTAGAAAATATTTTCAATTTGAAAATGTTTTTTGCCTTAATGAACACTACAAGAATTTGCACCTTTGGCGACCACTTTTGACGACTAAAAAAAATTTAGTCACCAAAAATGTCACTTTGGGCGACTAAAATATGTATTGGTCAGCGTTGGTATAGGATGTAGCTACTAAACATTTTGTGGGGAAATATTATTTATTGGTGACTAAATTATTTTTTTGTCGGCAAAAATATCACTTTTAATGATTGAATTTTAGGCTTCTAATTTTTTTTTAGTCGTCTTATATTATTTTTTGCCTACAAAACAAATGTTAGTACCCAAAAACCAGGTATATTTTTATGGTTACTCTTTAGCGAGTAAAAAATTTAGTGGGCAAATATTATTTTTTCCCGACCAAATGGAGATTTAGTCACCAAATACTTTTGGCGACCAATAAAATAGTCGCCGCTGATTTACCTGTGGCTACCAAATAGGATAGTCGCCAATAAGCACCCTTTTGCCGACAAAAATTTATTTTAGTCGCTCAAGCTTGAGATTTTTTAGGGCACAAACTCTTTTATTACTGCTCACCCCTTTCTCTGTTACACAAAACAACATTCAAACCTCTCGGACAAAGACAATCAGACACCAAACCTCAGAGAGAAACACCTCACCTCAGCCCACCGTATGGAGGACATTGCCACAACCACCACCGCAAAGCACCACCGGCACAGCCGTAGATCACAGGTTCTCTCTTTCTCTCTCTCTCTCTCTCTCTCTCTCTCTGTCTCCCTTCCTCTATTTCCCCCTTTTCTGATTGTGGCTTTAGGTTTTATATGCTTGAATCAATTGAATTTGGTGTTCATTTCTGAAATGGGTTTGGCTATTGTGGATTGATTTCTAAACTAGTATGGGTTTGATGTCCGAAATATGGTTTGATTTTACTAGTTTCATATATTTCCCCCTCTTTTTCCTTTCTCTTTCATTAGTTTGAGTATGAATTTGTTGCTGATATATGCACTTTCAAATTGTATCTGTAATTCTGTTTTGAAAGTGTTCCAAGTTTAATGTATGTGGATAGAATGGATGCATTTGTCTGATTTCTAAAATTAGAATCACAACTGGGGATAAATTACAAATACACCTTTACAAATATTTTGTAGTTCTGTACTGTATAATTTTTTTTTACCATTTGCTGATAAATAAGAATTTGCAGTAGGTGAAAGGATATTTGGGTTGACTAACCTATGGAGTTGAATACTTATCAAAACTTTCTAAAGCAGCGATAGTTGATTTGGCTAACGGCTTCCTCATAATATTGTAAATCAGTTACTATTTGGACCATATTTTCACTTTGTTTATATTCTAGTTATGATCATTGTTAGATCTTTGATTTTTTTTATTTGTTTTTATTTTTATAACTTTAGGGAACTTCTGGAGTAACAAGATCAATGCTTTGGGACAGTGGAGTTGTATTGGGGAAGTTCTTAGAGCATGCTATAGAATCAGGGACGATGCTTCTTCAAGGCAAGAAGGTCGTTGAATTGGGATCTGGCTGTGGATTAGTTGGGTATTAATAACAACTATTTTTAAGTTCCATCTTTGTCATTATACTGTACCATATGAACAAACAGAGTCCATTTATTTTCTAGTTGGTGAAATGGCTTTCAAATAAGGGAAGCAAAAAAATAAAAATAAAATTACATGGTCAATAAAATAGGACTTTTATTAGAATTCTATGCTGATGAGATGGTAGACCATGTCTATGAATGTGATTAGTAAGTGCGTAGCATGAGGAGTGGAATTTTCACTCAGATTTTTCTATATTTATTTACTAATTTTACATGAAAGTCATTGCTTCTCTTAAATTATGATTTTCTTCTGTTGTGTTTCTAGCTGCATTGCTGCCCTTTTGGGCGCTGAAGTTATTCTTACTGATTTGCCAAATAGATTAAGGCTGCTGAGGAAGAACGTTGGAACTAATCTGTGCGGAAATGTTCGTAGTTCTACAGCAGTGAGTCAACTCATTTGGGGAGAGAAGCCTGTTGTAGAATTGATTCGACCATTACCTGATTATGGTACAAAGATCTTATATCTTCTCTTCCACATAACAAAGGTTTTAAAAATTGGTTGTTTCTATAACAAAGTAGGTATAATGGGTGTTACAACTCCCTTGAGTGCCTGTTACGGTGCCGTTACAACTGTTATGGCTATTGTAATCAATTTTCCTAAGAACCAACACCAGCTCTTGGTTGTTGGATTTTGCACCAGGACCTTCCACATGGTGTCTCTTGACCTACGAATTTAGTCTCATGCTCCATATACATTGTCATCAAATTACCTAGTATTTGTTTTATGCTTTTGGGCCAAGTAATGATCTTGTATGAGTTGTTTTGGTGCTCATTTAAAATTTCTGAATTTTAGAATTTATTTTATTTTTTATATAGACTCTTATTGTGTTTTTCTCTTATTTTGGATGAAAAAAGTGTTGGGGTCGGATGTAATTTATATTGAGGATGCAGTGATGGATTTATTGGCCACATTACTAGAACTTTATGGCACCCAAACAACAATTATTTTGGCTGGAGAACTTCGAAATGGTACAAAATTTTAAGTTTGCTTTGTTCTACCAAAACCATGAGTGTTTTGCATTTATTTAAATTTCATGGCACAAAGTGCTCAAGGAAAAAATTACAATGGAATTAAAGAGAATTTTGCCAAAAAGAGTAGGTTGGGGGTGGAATAGGTTAAAAGGACATAATGAATTTGAGAATGACAAAAGTAGGCAGAAAAGATAGATGGTTGAAAATAGGACAATCTTGCTTTACATCTGCTTGTACTTGGGGTTATTTGCCCATCTCACTCAAGGTAAAAGGAAATCACATTATGATCTTGTAACTAACGTAGATTAACTAACTTAATTTGCCGTTTGCTTGGTGTCAACATGAGAGTTTGATAGTTAACATGTTTTATCATTCTGTACAAGAGTAAGGAAATATGGATTACTCTATGAATTGCAGCTCAACTGTTACAATACCTCTGGTGCAGGGACTTTTGTATGCTACAAGGTGTCTCTTTGGAGGTGTGCTGGGCTCTGTTGGGTGTGGTTTTGGTATGTAATAATCCTGTTAGCTCTTCTTTATTGTTGTGTTCCAAATGTAGGCATATGGGAATATGAATAGTTTATGTTCCTTCAAAGAACCTTTGAGTAGTTCCTTTCCTAATGCTTTACAAACAATAAAATGGAGTTAAATTGGATTAATGCAAGTTGTTCCTTTAATCCCATCATATAATCATGGATCTTAGCATTGTGTGGAGTGTGCGTTGAATTGATTTTTGATAAATGATTTATGTATGTGCCTCTTGTGCAATGTCATTGAACTCAGTGAGCACATGCTGTAGAATTTATGTTGAGATTTGTGAAGAGATTAGGGGTTCAATTAGCTTTCCTGTCTAGTGGACACACTCTTGTGACTCCATTTACTGTTTGGTGGGAATATTGAACTTATTGAGCCCTTTTTCACTATTCATGTGTCTCTTTGGATTAGAATGTGAATAATTTTTTTTAACTAAAAGAAGCAAAATAAATATTAGATGACAACATAGTTGCATAGCTTTTGCAATCCCTACACCAGTGATTGACATGGATCACTTATAAATGTAAAGCAATGTTGATTATGCTTTAATCCTGCAGAGATGCTTGAAACTTTTTCTTACTGGGGTCTACTCGTTAGTGTAGTATAGTTCACCCTGCACAAAAATGTGGTTCTTTTTATTTTGTCTTATATGGATTTTTTGTTCTTAACTATCGTACTACTTTTGTCCTTTAAATTCTGAGATGATGGTACCATGGATTCTAGAGTTTGACTCATGAGCAGATCAATTTCTTAGGGAGTGTACAATAAGATCATAGTTAGATGTTGGTTTTGATGTTGAAATACTGGCTAAGTAGAATGGCATCTTGATATTTGAGTGTTTTTTTTTTTCATGCAGAGTTTTGGTGTTGTTCTAAAGATAATAGATGTCTTGAAGCTAAACAAATAAAATAGAAGTTTTTCTGGGAATCCATATTTTGGTGCTTGTGTTTTGGAATGGAAAACTTTCCCTTGAGAACACTATTTTTTTTATTTTTTGTTTTTAGCAGCCAAGAACACTAAATTTGGAAACCTGGATTTTTTTTCTTATTAGGTTTCTTTTATAAGACAAAACATCAAACAATGTTAGGTGTGTACCCAATCTTTCCCCTTCCAAATACATTAATGTGAATAGGTTGTTTTGTTTGTTCCATCACCATTTATTAGGTAAGTATCTTTAATTTCTTTCAAATTTAGGGAAAAAAATTAAAACAGCCACTACATTGTTCGGAGACAATCATGGGTACCTCACCCTAGATTACAAAAAACTTGTAAGAGCAAGTGGCGCGTCGATAGGACGCACGATTAGAGAATTAAAGACAAAAATGTGAGAAAAAAAAGGCGAAAATGAGCTGTTGGGTTGGCAAAAATGCAAAACATCTGCCAATCTACTTGAAGACCATCACGAACATAGCACTCTAGATCAAACAAGCTTGTGAGAGCAAGTGGTGCATTGATAGAATGCATAGTTAAAGAATTAGAGAAAAGATATGAGAAAAAAGGCAAAAATGAGCCCTTGAGGGGCATAAATGCCAAACAGCTGCCAATCTACCCAAAGACCATCACCGGCACCTTGCCCTACATTAAACAAACTTGTGAGAATAAGAGGCGCGTCGATAGGACGTATAGTTAAAGAATTGTAGACAAAAATGTGAGAAAAAAAGGCAAAAATGAGCCATTGGAAGGCAAAAATGTAAAACAGCCCCCGAACCATTGTACAGATGTTACAGACAATTTCATCATGAAAAATAGGACTTGTGGGGACAGATTGGACATAATTAGCACATGTAGGTTGTGAGTTAGAGTCGAAAACGCCTTAAACTTAGTCGAAAAATGACGTTTGGGGGGCGAAAATACAAAACAACCCCCGAACCACTATACGAATATCACAGACATCTTACTCATGACAACTAGGACCTGTGGGGACATATATCACATAATTATCACACGTAGGTTGGGAGTTAGAGTCAAGTAGTTTCCTTGTGACAAATAGGATCTATCGGGACAGATGACACGTAATAAGCACATGTAGGTTGGGAGTTAGAGTCGAAAATGCCTTAAACTTTGTTGAAAAAGAGTGTTCAGGGGGCGAAAATGCAAAAGAACCCTCGACCCACCGTATGAATGTCATGACCAGCTTTCCCATGACAAATAGGACTTGTGACAATAGATGGAATGTAATTTGCATGTGTAGTTTGGGAGTTAGAGCCAAAAATGCCTTAAATTTAATCGAAAAAAGCGTTCAAGGGGCAAAACTACAAAATAGCCCCCAAACTATCGTATGGATGCCACAACCAGCTTTTCCGTGACGAATAGGATTGGTGATAACAGATGGAATGTAATTCGCATGTGTAGATTAGGAATTAGAGCAAAAAACGCTTTAAACTTAACTGAAAAAGGGCGTTAAGGGGGCAAAAATATGAAACAGTCCCCGAACCACCATATGGATATCACGGCTAGCTTCCCTATGATAAATTGAACCTTGGACAATAGATGAAATGTAATTCACACGTGTAGTTCGGGAGTTAGAGCCGAAAGCGTCTTAAACTTAACCGAAAAAGGCATTCAAGGGGCGAAACTGCGAAACAACCCCCAAACCACCATATGGATGTCATAGCCAGCTTCACCATGACAAATAGGGCTTGTGACAATAGACGGAATGTAATTCGCATCTGTAGGTTGGGAGTTAGAGTCGAAAATGCCTTAAACTTAACCGAAAAAGGACGTTAAGGGGGGAAAATGTGAAACAGCCCCCAAATCACCATATGGATGTCCCGGAAAGATTTTCCATGACAAATAGGACCTGTGACAACAAACGAAATGTAATTCGCACGTGTAGTTTGGAAGTTAGAGCCGAAAATGCCTTAAACTTAACTGAAAAAAGGGCGTCAAGGGGGCAGAAATGTGAAACAGCCCCCGAACCACCATATGGATATCACAGCTGACAAATAGGACCTGTGACAATAGACTGAATGTAATTCACACGTGTAGTTTTGAAGTTAGAACCAAAAACGCCTTAAACTTAACCGAAAAGGGGCGTTAAGGGGGCAAAAATGTAAAACAACTCTTGAACCACCATATGGACGTCACGACTAGCTTCCTCGTGACAAATAGGACTTGTGACAATAGACAGAATGTAATTCGCATGTGTAGTTCGGAAGTTAGATGCGAAAACGCCTTAAACTTAACGGAAAAAGGGAGTTAAGGTGGCGAAACTATGAAACAGCCCCCGAACCACCATATGGGTGTCATGGCCAGCTTCCTCATGACAAATAGGGCCTGTGACAATAGACGGAATATAATTTGTACGTGCAGTTTGGGGGTTAGAGCCAAAAACGCCTTAAACTTAATCGAAAAAAGGCGTTTAAGGGTTGAAACTGCAAAACAGCCTTCTAACCACCGTATGGATGTCACAGCCAGCTTCCCTGTGACAAATAAGACCTATGACAATAGACGGAATGTAATTAGCTCGTGTAGGTTGTGAGTTAGAGCAAAAAACACCTTAAACTTATTCGAAAAATGGAGAGTTTGACATCCAATCAATGTTCAACATTTTGATTGTAAATGACGTCATTGTTTCATCATACGGTGGTCATTTGGGTGGTACACGTATTAAGAAAGCATCATATGGTTATGGAGACAACCTCGTAAGTTACTCATTTATTTTACTTTGACTAGGAAAAAGGGAATGAAGAAGAGGTAAATAAAATTACAACCAAAATATTCTAGTAATAAGCATTTATTTTATGAAGAGGTATGCTCCTAAAAATTGTATTTTTGTAAATTGAAATCAAGTTTGGAATAAATCTTTCGTGATACATACATATGATTGTATTTCGAAAAAGGCTTAAATAGATTGTTCTACCTTAAATGCATGTTACAACCTTTTTCTTATATCTCAATCAATTAATATTTTGTAATGGGTGCAATTTTTTTTTTTTTAAATTTTTTGTAATTGATTTTTGGCGTGGACTTGTGGATAATCCATTTTTGTGTACAGAGGATGCTTTACACTTTTGTATTAACTGTCATCCTCTGCTTTTGTGTATATTAGTATTACTGATACATATAACTTTTCTAATCCAATTGATAATTACTGGTGTGGCATATAGATCACCTTTTGTGGTGGTACAAATTACAATCCAAATGGCCATTTTGCATGGTAGTAAACATATATATTTTTTTATATATGGTGGGTTGGATTTTTGTATGATTCCCTATTTTGTATGGAAATATAATTTTAGTTTGAACAATAGTTGGTTTGTATGGAATACATATATTTAAAGTAATTTATTTTTGGATGGTTGGAAGTAATATGAATTGTGGAATGATTGATAAAATATGTATTATTTTGTTTATATACGTACTACAAGTTGTACGGAATACGGACAGGGTGTGAAGAAATTACAATTTTGCGATAAAACATAATATTATTTTTTTGGCGACTAAACAATTTGTAGTAAAAAAGGAATTACATGTTTTAGCGACTAAAATGTTAATCAGTAGCTAAAACCCAAAATAAATTTCGAAAAACAATAATGGCGACTACGAGCTTTGTAGCCAACAAAAAAACAGACATTAGGCGACTAAATTTTAGTTGTCAAAAATAATCAAACATTTGGCGACTAAAATATTTTGTAGTTGAAAAACAGAAAACTTTTGCCGACTAAAGGTTTTAGTAGCGAAAAATGTGTAGCTAACTAAATAGTTTTGCCTACTAAAAGTTTAGTAGCAAAAAAAATCAGACTTTTAACTACTAAAAGATTAGTAGCCAAAAAGAAAACCAAACTTTAGGTGGCTAAAACTTTAGTAGCCAAAAGTAATCAAACATTGGGCGACTAAAATATTTTGTAGCCAATTTTTTTTTGATGATGAACAAAAACACCTTTGCCAACTATAATTTTAGTAGTTGAAAATGTGAAAATTTAGGTGACTATTCTTTTAGTAGCTAAAACATAATGACACTTTAGGTGACTAATATATTTAGTGGCTAAAAAAAAAAATAGAACGAAGCAAAAAAAATTTTGGTGACTAAATCTTTAGTCGTTGGATATAAATAAGGTTTTTGGCGACAAAAAAATTTTAGTCGCTAAAAAGTGATATTTAATTTTATTTCAAGGCTTTTGGCTACTCGCCAATTACCTTCCCCGACAAATTTTCAGCGACGAATTTTTTGACTAAAGATTTTAGTCGCTAAAGAGTTTGGATGACTAAAATATGGCTTTTAGCAACTAAAATTTAGTCGCCAAAAGTGCAAATTCTTGTAGTGAAACTGAGTGCTAGAGAATGTTTGATTAGTAGAATTATAGCATAGGATTGAGATTGTTAGTTCATGAAATCACAATCTCATGTTTGATTGTAAATTTTATTAATTGAATTACATGTATGGCGAACATTCAATCTAACAAAATTAACGAATTTTTAATATTGAGAGAGGCCACGGATTATAATTTTAAGTATGAAAGAAAAAAAAATAATAAATGGTTATTTCACTAATTTAATTGGATAACTAATCCTACACTAATTCATGAAATTATTAATCCTTTCACTATTAATCATGTTAATCAAACAAAGCCTTAATTATTTTCTATTTAACTTTTGAATGTGAAAGAAACTTATCAAAATAGTGAAATGATAAAATTAACAAACTAAAATTTTACCGTGTTAACCTTTTCCTAGACCAAATCTCTCTATGTGGGCCGGATTCCCATTTTAGACTTTAGCTTAAAAATTTTCAATGAAGGGAAAGCACCAGTTGTTGTATCATAAAGGGTGTTGATTTTCACCAATTGAGAGGTCATCCGGGGGGTCGACCGAGAAGTCAACTGCCTAGTGCAAAAATTTTACAAAATTTTGTCTTGAGGTGTTTATTCGGGAGGACATCCGGTGGTGAAAATACAACGGTAATAAACAATGATTTGATGAAAGAATCAAAGCATCCTCAGTTTGATCAAACATTTTTGATATTCTCAATTTGATATCTGTTTAATGAAACCATTGGAGTATAAAAAAAGGTACTTTTTCACCAAATTTAAATTTGGTGATAGATTTGGTATAGCATTAGAGATGACCTAACTTGACTATGTGTAAAGGGTGTTGATTTTCAAGAACACCTCATCAAAGTAATCATGACGATATATATGGTGACGAAGTGATGAGCAATAGAACACCACAAAAGAAAACTTCAAATGTTGAAGCTCTACTGGTTTGATAAGGAGAAGTATTTCTTCCTTTCGACTATGTCGTGTAAGGCAAGATCTAAGAAGAGAGGTTGCGTATCGTTGAGCTTTGAGAATGAATTTTGAAAAATAATTTTGTGAAAGAGTTGATAAAATTTAAAAGTTATTTAATTATGAATTTTTAAAATTAATTTTTGAGTTGTATATTTTGAAAATAACTTTTAAAAATTTAAAAATTCAAAATTTGTTTAGTTATGAATTTTTAAAGCTAGTTTTTGAGTTTTTTTTGGATCTTGTATTTTTTTGTTGGTTTTTTAGTCAAAATTTTTTTACAATGTTATAGTCAAATTTATTTACTTATTTTTATACACTTAATCTAAATGTATTTTTTAGATAATTTAATCTATAGGAAAGAGTTTTACTCTGTATTTTATTATTTTTAATAATTTAATCAATATTTTTTAGGTTTTATATCTACTCAATTTAGAAACATTTAAAAGTTTCACATTTATATAAAAAATCTCTTAGAAAAGGGAGATTTACAGTTAGGTCCCGTTTTAGTAAATAATGGTCCATTAAGTCCTACTTAAAAAACTTTTTACCTATAAGTCCCATAAACAAGTTTAAATGACGAAACTATTCTTACCAAATCAAAAAACACAAAATATAATCACAACTTTTCATTCTTCACAGCTCATTGGCGCTCTTTCACATCCCTTACAGATTTCATTCTCACATTCATCAATTTCGCCTCACATTTCATCTTACTTCATCAATCTCGGCTCAGATTCCAGAACAACAAACTAGATCATCAAAGATTTTCAAATTTGAACAACCAAAATGGTGAAAACAAGTAATATTCAAATATCTTAAACCCTAGTTTCTGCGAAATCTTCCATTTTCAAAACTTTTGTTTTTGATTTCCATTTCAGTTTGAATGTTGAGTTTCAAAATGGTGAAAACAAGTAAGATTCAAAATATCTTAAACCCTAGTTTCTACGAAATCTTCCATTTTTGAAACTTTTGCTTTTGATTTCCATTTCAGTTTGAATATTGAGTTCGTTACTGCTGTTATAAATAGGGGTGAGCATGGTCCGGATTGGACTGGATTGGGGTAAAACCAGGACCAATCCGTTATCTACGGTTCCTGAAAAATTGGAACCAATCCAATCCGTTTAAATCATGGAACCAATCCGAACCAATCCATTTAAATACGGATTGGAGCGGTTTAGGACCACGGATTCATATAATTAAATAACAAAAAATATATATATATATATATAACACTTTAATTTCATAAAAATATAAACATAACGCTATATCAGTTCCATAATAGCAACATGTTTTTCTATAATAGTGACATACTGTTCTTGAATTTAAACAACCATAAGAAAATACAAACAAAAGTAATAAAATAAGATATTATACGGTTTTAGGTTTGAGTTTAGATTTTATATAGAATAAGAGAAGATACTATAGGAGAGGACATATAATAAAAATATAGACTATTTGTATACGGTCCGGATCGGTTCCAATCCGGAACCGTGGGGTTCAATCCGGAACCAATCCGTGGACTACAGATTTTTAATTCTTCAATCCGGAACCGAACCGCGGATTCAAAAAACCAATCCAAACCTATCGAATTAGACTGGAATGGATCGGATTACGGATTTCACGGATTCCTTGCTCAGCCCTAGTTATAAATGTTCTAAGATTTCGAGTCGATTTGTGTCAAAAATCGTAGTTAATAATGTTATCTTCCTTTAGATTTTAGTTTGAAGGTTGATTTTGGTATCATTACTGTGAATGTTCTCAGATTTTGAATCAATTTCAGTGAAAAACCCCTAGTTAATCATGTTCTCATGCATTCAATTTAGGTTTCATTGTTGATTTTGGTACCATTGTTGTGAATGTTCTCATATTTCAAGTCAATTGGTGTGAAAAATCCTAGTTAATCATGTTCTCTTACTTCTAATTTAGATTTCAATATTGAGTTTGGTACCATTACTGTGAATGTTCTCAGAGTAAAAAACCCTAGTTAATCATGTTCTCATGCTTTCGATTTAGGATTCATTGTTGATTTTGGTACCATTGCTGTGAATGTTCTTAGATTTTGAATAAATTTGACTTAAAAACCCTAGTTAATCATGTTCACATGCTTTCGATTTAGGTTTCATTGTTGATTTTGGTACCATTGCTGTGAATCTTCTCTGATACTGAATCAATTTGAGTGAAAAACCCTAGTAAATCATGTTCTCATGCTTTCAATGTAGGTTTCATTGTTGATTTTGTTACCATTGCTGTGAATCTTCTCAGATTCTGAATCAATTTGAGTGAAAAACCCTAGTAAATTATATTCTTATGCTTTCGATTTATGTTTCAATGTTGATTTTGGTAACATTGTTGTGAATGTTCTCATATTTTGAATCAATTTGAGTGAAAAACCCTAGTTAATCATGTTCTGATGCTTTCGATTTAGGTTTTATTGTTGATTTTGGTACTAGTTCTGTGAATGTTCTCAGATTCTGAATCAATTTGGGTGAAAATCCAAGCTAATCATGTTCTCATGCTTTCCGTTTAGGTTTCAATGTCGAGTTTGATAACATTGGTGTGTGAATGTTGTCAAATTTTGAATTGATTTATGTTTAAATACTGATTTTGGTACCTTTACCATAAATGTTCTCAGACTTTGAATCAATTTGAGTGAAAAACCCTAGTTAATCATGTTCTCATACTTTCAATTTAAGATTGGTGTGTGAATGTTCTCAGATTTTAAATCAATTTGAGTGAAAAACCTTAATTAATCATATTCTCTTGCTTTCAATTTAGGTTTCAATGTTAAGTGTGGTACCATTACTGTGAATATTCTCATATTTTGAATCAATTTGAGTGAAAAAACCTAATTAATCATATTCTCTAGCTTTCAATTTAGGTTTCAATGTTGAGTGTGGTACCATTACTGTAAATGTTTTCAGATTTTGAATCAATTTGAGTGAAAAATCCTAGTTAATCATATCCTCTAGCTTTCAATTTAGGTTTCAATGTTGATTTTGGTACCATTGATGTTAATGTTT